GGGTTTGTAGAAGTCGACTTCGGCGCCTTCGAGATGGTCGAGTGAAACACGCCATAAGTGAATACCTTAGGTTGAAGACAGGACTTGAGAAAAACGTAGTTAGAAAAGTATAGTAGTCATTAATTAGGTCTCGTGACGAAACCTGTAATAACGATGTTTGTGTACCACTGATTTGATGGTTCTACACTTTGACGGTGTCATTTTGAACTCGTAACTAAAAGTCTATGAAAGTCGAATTCGAGTGTCTAGCAGTCTTTCATCAAAGGTGTAATACACATTGCCCGTCGATGGCTCAGTGCTTTTGTGTATGTAAAAAACGGCTTATCCAGCCGGTCAATTCTTGAAGATTATAAGCATTTTGTGTACCTAATAAATTAATTTCAGTGATCTTAGTCTGTTCGATGAAGTTTTGGTTCAAAGATGTTGGCTTGTTCAAAACAAATCGTTCGACATTAGTCAGTTGCAGTTTATCCTTAATGATCTTTACATTATCAACATTTTTGAATGATACACGGGCCTTCTATTCAACATGACTGTAACGGTCTTCGAGAGTATTGTTTATCGTATCCTGGAACATCATATTATATTTTTACTTCAAATATCTACTGAATTAACAACCCAAAGATATAAAGATGCTATTTCTGAGATATAATTAATAAAAACTTTTTTAAAAACAAAATTCACTTAGAGCTATTTAAAGAATTTGTATTTTTTTCGTATATTCATAATATACAGTAATATATTATTATAATAAACGTATTTGGTATATCATTCAGTTTCCAACATATATAATGTCAATTAACTAGCTGAAAAGTTAAAAAAACAACATTGTAAAAATTTCAAAAAATCAAAATAGCGATTTTGTTGATATAATTTTAAAAAAATGTTCACAAAAAAAATAAATATTTAGGCGTTTATTTTCTACGATTTTTGAAGTTTATACAATTTTATATGATTTTAAATAGATTTTCTGGATAACCGCTGTAACACTGATAAACAAGAAATAAATTAGAATTTAAGTGAACTTTAAAAATTGTTTAAAAATTATTGACTGAACTTTCGTAAAAAAATTTTGACACTAAAAATTTTTTTTTAAATCGGTTTTACAAAATGGCTATCTTGATTTTTTTTTTTTTTTTAATTTCAAACAGAGAATTTTTTTTTTAAATATCTTTCATTTGTTGCAACACTTATTGGCAATAAATAAATAAGTAAGTAATAATTAGTAAATTATTTACAGATTATTTTTAGCCTATGGTAAAACGTTTTCTTTTTTAAAAGGATAAAACAACATTTGTAACAATGGTTTAAATTTTTCTTTACAAACTTTCAATTTGTCTTTTTATAAATTTATTAGTGTTGATACGAAAAAAATAATCACGTAATATTAAATGTATAGAGAAGAGTTCATGTTTAGAAGCTATACAAACGATGTTACCACTTACCTTAGACAAATAGTCGAATAGACGACAACTAACGACTGCATAAGTGCAGATTGCAACAATAATAAATCAATATTGTATAATACAAGAATAAGTCAACGGGTTTTACAGTTGTGCTGATAGTAGATAAACTCGTCTATTTGTAGAATTCGATGTACTCTAATAAAATTTTCGTCATCGTTGTCATCGATATTTTATACTGTATACAAATATTTTTGGAAATAATAAAAATACTATTAAAATCTGACGATACCGAAATGCCGATCACTTTGATCAGGTGTCAAATAATTTGCCTACTAAATATTGAAAAATTATGAGTGAGAGGGTTAGACACCTCCATGCCCCTCTCAAAGGACGACCCTGGTCATACGTGATTGTCAACAATAGTCATCTACTCTCTCCAAATAAAACTTGTAAATCCAATTTATTTTTAAAATAACAAGTACAGACAAAATATTATTTTATTTAAACTAGAGCACTGGAATTTTTTTTTTTTTTAATGACTTTTTATTGAGGCCTGTTTTTCTTAATATAGGGATTCGTACTTAATGAATTAATGTTAAAACAAGTCACGTAAATGCATAATAAATAATTATGATACATATCAATAAAACATTTTTTTTATTTGCACAGTATACACTAAAAAATAGGTAGAATAGGACATTGGGTACCAATTACCAAAGTACGAGTACTGACGTACAATATTTTGACTTCCATGTTATAATAAATTTACGACGCCCACTATCGAAAGCGTAGACGTTATTGATTCATCACACGTGATTATTTATAATTCATACAACATCGCACAGGTACCTATATATATATATATATATATATATATATATATATATATATTGGATACTATCATTCTACTGGTGCAAACTGTCTAATAAACAGATGAGGGTCTAGGCGAGGGCCGTTCGATCAATATTTTTCAACGAAGAAATAAAACCCAGAAAGTATATATAGGTAGTTTGGGCGTCATAAAAAAGTGGCTCTTACCAGTGTGTAGATACTGTATACCTAGGTACTTAATTCGTTGTACTCTTGTAAATCGTAAAGTCATCACTTGAGCTCGAATTTAGATGAAAAAAAAAAACATTAAATATGCATTATCATTTATATATTGATGATATATTTTTAAATAGATATATCTTAATTTTTCTCGAGATAATTTAGTTCAGATTTTACACTAAATTTTAGATTTCTATATAATCGTTATAGTCACAAATTCAAACAGGTTTGGAGCAATGTAACATGTACTATATTGTTGCATTAATACACGGACTTTATAATATATAGGTAGGTAAATAATTTAATTGACACATATATACAGTTGGTAGGTAGGTACCTCTATATTATTTAACTTCAAGCTATAATATACAAAATTGATATATATGTATAATATATATTGTGTATAGTGAGTAAATATTACATATACGCCGTGATTCGTGACTATGATATTAGATCTTGGAATGAAATTAGTATACACAATTCGTGATTTTATTTTTTACAGAACATAAAAAACTATATTAATAATAATCTTTATTAAAGTCAATATTGTATGTACCAATCACCGATGTATTATTAATTCAGTGTTCTGAAGAAAATTGAAAAAAAATCTCGATAAAAAGTTGTAGTAAAGAAATCACCGAAAAAATGTACTACAAATAATTAATTTAGTATATTGTTGTATTGATATGCTTTAAAAAAAAAAATTAATAATAATAGATTATTATTTTACAAATATTTTAAATTAAATATATATATATATATTAATATGTTATGTTATTCATTTTTAGCTATGGTTTCAAAATTAAAACAATATACTTCTCTAATAGAAAAGAAAAGTCACATTCATTTTTTTTTTTATGTAGTTTTAAATCATAAATTTAAATGAAAAACCAGGAATATTATATGTTAATAATGCGAATTTTGAAAAAAATGTTCTGAAATTTATTTTAATTTAAATTTTATCACAAATAAATAAATAAATAACAGTAAAATTGAAATTATGATTTGTGCATAAAAAATGAACATTTAATACAAGGTTCTTTATAAGATTTTAATGAAAATTAAAAAAAAAAAGTTAATTGTTAATCCAATTGCATTTTTTTATAAAGTATAAAAGTTCAAATTGTATCGTCAATCGTCATTGAGTATTCGTTCGTATAACAACGATTTATTGTCAAAGATTTTTGTTGTTATTATTATTTATTATACCAAATATAGAAACTTGAAATAATATAGTATTATTACATATATTATATAATTTTCATATTTTTAAAAATAATTATATTATTTACTTATAGTCTTTTAAAATTTTTTAACTTATCTATTTTTTTTACTTATAAAAAGTTATAAAAAAATTGTATGATCGTCAAAAAAAATTAAATTTTACCTGTACACTAATTTTGGTGTATTTTCATTTATCAACCTTATGAAAATCTTCAAAAGAGGTCTTTTAGTATCTTATTCTTTTGAATTTTTAAAAATGTATTTTTTAAATTTTTTTTCATTAACTAAAGTGAATATTATACAAAGCTACGCATAGAAAATAATGTTTCATATGTTTTAAAAAGTTTTTCTTTTGTATCTTCAAATAATTGTCTCGCTTTCTTAGATCTTTAATCACAAATAGCCACTTACACTTTTTTGGGTCGGTAAAAATGTTTCAATTTTCTAAAATGGTGGTGATCTCTATTCTCTAGTAAAAAATTGGATCTAGTTGGTACTTGGGGGAGTGAAAAAAATTAAAGAAAAACGGTAATTATTATGCAAATCCAATTTTTAACCAAATCGATTGTGTTTTTGGTGTAACAAAAAAATAATAATAATAATAATAATAATAACCATTTATTTGAAATTTTCACCAAATATTTATATTATTGCTTTTTATTTATACAATAAAATTTTCAAAATAATGATGTTATTATATAAATTTATATATAATATTATGATATAAATAAAGGTTTATTATTACTATAATTAAGTATTAATAATCTAATAAATTTAATATTTTCAGAAAAAATTTTAAAATACAGAGATTATTTTCAAGATATTACCTATTTATATCTTAAATTCTATTTACTCTGTTTATGGTAGGCTTGTATTGATTCGGGATTTCAGAGTTTTTTTTTATATTTAAGACTAATAAGCGATGATAAATTACACATACTTTGTATGTGTAAAATACACAAAATAGACAACAATTACAACAGTCATGGAGGGATCGACGAAAACAATATCCGTTCATCACTCTTTTGTACCGTTCAACACAGCACTTGATGATGTTCACAAAATATTATTGATTAACGATTTAATTTCGTTCATTTCCAAAACGACATTGACATTTTTTTACCACTGGTAAAACAGGCACCCAAGTACTACGTGTTACGCAACACAAATGTCACAAATTCAATTTTATCACACACACACGCAATCGCGCCGTGTTATCAACGGCGTGGAGGTAGAACAATGTCGTGCACGGACGGTGTATACCACCGACATCTACAATCTCCCCGCGAATTCCAGGTTCTTGTTGCACGGGATCCGGCAGCGTAGTGCAGCTCGTCGGATGTCCGATGTAGTGATAACCGAGTTGAATGCATTCGATTGTGTGTGCACCGTGCGGCAGTTGTGTAATGTGTGCATGCTCTATCACCGCAATAGTACAATAACAACAACACCCCCGCGTCGCACTCGTCCGCAGTGCTGTTCTCGTGGTGTATTTTAGTTTTTCCGTCCCCGTAAACGGATACCGAATCGTGTGCGTGCTCGTAGGTTTATAGTCTTTTGGTTTGTCGTACGTTCGCCGTCGGTGTCGCGCGCGCGTCTCTTTCCGCCGATCGCCGCCCGTAGACCACGAAACCGCCGCTGTTGTTTTCCGACCCTGTCTCGCCGCCAACGATAAGTCACTGCCGCCAAGCGCTGGGCGAAATGGACGCCGTCAATCGGTTCACGTCCACTGGTGCCCACCGACTGACCGCCGTCAGCGTTCCCCTGTGAATTCCACGCGAGTCTTCCCGTCGCATCGATACGATGTCGTGTGGCTCGCGTTTAGCGACGCCGTCGTTCGCGGCAGCAACGGTGTTGTTGTTAATAGTAGGCTTTTGTGCGGTTTCGTTTGCTCACTCTTCGAGGCAACAGATCCAAGACGGACCGATCGGCGACGACACGACCGGTCACCATGGCCGGTGTGAGCCCATCACCATACCGTTTTGCATGGGCATAGCGTATAACGAGACGATCATGCCCAACATGTTGGGCCAACAGCGTCAAGACGAAGCGGGCTTCGAAGTGCAGCAGTACTATCCGTTGGTAAAAATCCAGTGTTCGCACGATTTGCAATTCTTTTTGTGCAGCGTTTTCGTTCCCGTTTGCACTATAATCGAAAGACCTATTCCGCCGTGTCGATCGCTGTGCGTGTCAGCGCGCAACGGCTGTGAATCGATCATGAATCGTTTTCAAATTGAATGGCCCGACAATCTGGAATGTTCGAAATTTCCTGAAAACGGACAACTTTGCGTTGGTGAGAATAACGTCACAAACACTTCTCCAACACCACAGACTGGTTTAATAGAACAAAACGGAAAAGATTTATCAGCACCTGGATCTAGACACTTTTCAGGAGACCAAGGATATGCAAATAATCCTAATAACTTTGACATTGGATTTGTTTGCCCACAACAGTTTCGAATTGAGTCTGCTAGCAACAAAAAGAGATCTGATAGGAGCAATCAAGTTTATACATTAAAAGTTGGCAATAAGGTAGTAAAAGATTGTGGCGTTCCGTGTGATGCATTCTGGAGTCAAGATCAAATGCGCAAAGCTAGATCATGGGTGGCTTTGTGGTCTGTATTGTGTGCTATTTCCTGTTTATTTACATCCTTAACATTTGCCATTGATACTCACCGTTTTCGATATCCAGAACGACCAATAATATTTTTGTCTTTATGTTATCTGATGGTTTCCATATCTTATCTGATTGGATATTTATCGGGAAACAACATTGCGTGCAATAAGCAAAATTTAATTACTCAAGGCACTGATGATAATGAATGGTGTACTGTACTATTTATGGTGTCTTATTTCTTCAGTACCGCATCCTCGGTGTGGTGGGTTGTGTTGACATTGACTTGGTTCCTGGCTGCTGGACTTAAATGGGGACATGAAGCTATTGAAGCAAATTCTCATTATTTCCACTTGGCGGCATGGACAGTTCCTGCTGCTAAAACGATTACAGTACTAGCTATGGGAAAAATTGAGGGTAAGTAAATGTACCATCTAATATCATAATATATTTAATATGAAATTATACCTAGGTACCTAATTGATACAAACCTAATGTAAAACATGAGAAAACAATATCTTGGTTAATTTTGAAAGTCATTACATTAAAGAGTTTTGCATTTAAATGTTCAAAACATTTATACTAAAATATCATGAATATCCTATACATTAGCTAGGTGTATTATAAATGTATGTATTTATTTAATATATAATACATGTATAGTATATCTTTGTTCTTACTCATGCTGTGCCTCGGAGTTTTTAATAATAATTATTAATACAATTTATATCTCATAGTTATTTAAATATTTACCTTTATATTACGTATTATAACAATTTTTTTTTTAAATAAACTAATAGAATATATAGATTTTTGGCCCTTTTAATGTTATATTTATGAAATTGGTTAAAAAAAAATAATTAATTTTTGTTTAAAAATTTTAGGTGATGTGTTAACTGGTATCTGTTCAATGGCTGTTTGGAGTGATGATACTGCCGTGAGAGACATGGTGCTGATTCCATTAGTAGTATACCTGATCTTAGGTACAGCATTTTGGATGGCTGGATTTGTTTCTTTATGCCGCATTCGAAAAGTAATGAAACATGATGGCACCCGGGGTACTGACAAATTGGAAAAATTGATGATACGAATTGGTGTCTTTAGTGTTCTATACACAGTACCTGCTGTGGCTCAAATCTTATGTTTAGTTTATGAACATGTCAATCTCAGTTCATGGATTATTAGTTGGCATTCTGCTCTTTGCCAAGATCCAAAGTATGCTCTACCTTGTCCTGCTCAACCCAGCGATCCAGGAAGAAAACCTAGCTTTGAGGTGTTTATAGCTAAATATTTTGTTTCATTATTAGTTGGTCTTACATCAAGTGTTTGGATTTGGTCTGGTAAAACTTTAAATAGTTGGCAAAAATTCTTGGCACGAATTCGACCTAATTCAGGTAAATCTGAAGCGTATGTTTAATTAACTTTAAAATTTGATTTATTAATATATCATAAACGTTTGTTTTTTAATTGAGATTTCTTACAAACTAATATATACTTAACACTTATATTTATTAGAAATGATTTTATGCCACTTTTGACTATTCAATTATCTATTTTATTAGTTTAAGTCCTATATTCAATGTACATATTAATCATCAAAATTTGACCATTTCTTAATGAATAAATAACATCAGTAAATGTCATGTATATATTTATACATTTAGTAGCAATTAAATGTATGTGTACATATAAAATAATAATAATCATTATTTAAGCTTGTTTAACAATCTAATTATTATTACCAAGTAGTTTCAATAATCCTTATTTCTTAGAAATATAACAATCATTGATGTACTAGAATTCTATATTTTTTTTTAAATTTTATACACCAAATTTCTACTACTATTATTTACATAATTTTATGTTTTCTTTAGTAATTTGTTACACATATTTATGTGTTTGTGTGTGTATTTTTATTCTATCAGTGTAAGCTTAGTTATATTGGCATTAACATTAATTATTAGTGATATTTATGATATAACAATTTTTTGTTTGAATATAATTAGACATAAAGACCTAGGAGCTACACTATTTTCTTCAAGACTACTTAAATTATTTAAAACAACTATACTACTATATTGTTACCAAATTCTGTCCTTTAAACAAACTTATTAAGTAATTTTTACATATATATTTATTCAACGTTGATACCGAGAACCAATAAAATAAAATATCAGACAATTTGTTTTCTGTTAAAACTATCATAAACATTTTTTTATTTTACAACTGCCATAATTTTAATATTAAGCTCATAAGATATTATTCCAAAGTTTAATTTTTATGTCCTTGATATTAATTAAACTTAAATCTCATTTGAATCTTCATATTTATATGTTTTGTTGCAATTATTATTGTGTTTATTCATTTTAAGTATATAACATAGTTGTTATAATTACCTATTACTCTCGCAATATTATACGAACTTAAATCAAAATAATCTTTATATTTTTATTTTTTACTGTCTACACTAATTATTTTGTTAAATGTACAATTCTTGTAAATTCTCGATAACTTGAATGTTAATATATACATTTTAATTAATTGTAATTATTAAAATAACATTGATTGCAATATTTTTTCAAATACAATTCACCTAGTTTTTTTTTTTTTATTTCAAATTATCGAGAATATGCAATTTATAAACATAATTTTTATTTTATATTTATAATTATATATATATATATATATATAGTTACTATTGACTGCAATTAATATGGTACTTAATTCTTATATGTTTGTGTATAGATAAGACTAAGCAATTTTTATATCAATATTACAAAACTGTTAAAATAATTTATTTTAAACTTTTTTTATAAAACTACAATTTTCGCAAAATATATGGAATACATTTTCGTACAAAAATTTTTTTTATTTTTGATAAATCTTCCTGAATACTACCTTTATAGAGTTATGAAAATAATTGTTTCAATAATAAATATTACAAATTACGCATTATGCTGAGTATTATATACATATGTGAAGTTGGCCCATTTATTTTGAAATATCGACTCCAAATTTTCACCAACATTTTAAGAATTTGCAATTAAGCCGTTTGTTGATGTTGATGTGTGGGATAAATTTTGTTAAAACTTGTTAATTATATTTTAATTAAAAATAAATACAATTTTTAACTTATATAATCATTTTATAAGTTTAATATAAGGTTCCTTATAAATTGTTCTAACAAAAACTTAAAAATCTTAAAACACAAATTAATTTAACTAATTATTTTATATTAAATAATGCAAAATAAAATTAAAGTATTTATATTTTTAGAAATATTGGGGGATAGACCTACGAAAAGAATTTTTTTTTTTTGTAGGTATACAATGATTTATTATTAAATTCATGATTAACACATCCACTACAATAACGAGATTAACTTGACACCTTCACAACAGTGACTTCCTCGATTTTTGACTTTTGTTATTTGTATATCAAATAAAATGTGAAGTATGGGTAATACTGTGTACTTATTTATTTTCGTATATTAGAATATATTACCTATTTACTATTGTATAGGCATACAAATAAATATTTATTTTTTTTTTTCGATTTCATTTTGTTGAAATTTTGTAATAACCAAACTACGGGCAGGACTGTAGAAGATAATGAATAAAGTTCATTTTATGATGTTATTTAAACTTAAATTAAAAGTATATAATTATTATAACAGATATCTGCATTACAAAATTAAATCTGGGCAAAAACTACTGGTAAACTACACGAAAATAAATGACTTTATTTATAATATTAGATGGATATTTTATAAGTGATTTTAATTTTAAGGTTTTAAATATGAGTTGCTTAATTTAAACAATAGTAGAATTTAGTTTTTACGTGCGTATAACATCATAACTATTATATGAACTATATAATATAATATATTCTATTATAACTATGCTATTTATTATATTGTAATAGCAATAATTAATAAAGTGGGAAAGAGACACATCAAATGTTTTAACAGCATAAACCCACTACATGGTACATTTAATTTGTGGTTGTAGTAAGATATCCATACTTATTTTATTAATTTAATTTTTCTCACACATCATAGCGTAAATCAATATGCAGATAGATAGTCGTTATAATATAAACGTTTCTTCAGTCCCTCCCACAGTATTTTTAATTTTAAATATGATTGGTTGTCAAGCTGATTCCAATACTATAATAAAACCAATTCATGTTAATTACGTACTACTTTTCTTACAAGATTGGCACAGGGTAAAAATTGCATTATTTAACTTTTGTGAAGGGGCTGGGGAAATGCGCAATTACGGTAGACGGATTTATAGAATAACCTGCATAAGTTTTAGATTTGTCAAAACTCTATAAACTTAAAGATTTAAAAAAATATATAATTTATTTTTAAGTAGGTATTTTTAATAACCAAAAATCTTATATATCATAAATTTTGTAAAATAAAATTTGGTTCTTTTGTTAATCAGCACGCAGAAAGATTCATCTTTACGAAAAAATTTCACTTATCTACTTATAGATAACTTTAAAAACGTTTAGACTTATTTTAAGTTTATATTAATATTACATAAAAATGGGTAACATATAAGATTACAAATCCAAAAGATGAGTCCGTAAACTCGTTAATTCAAATTTAATATAATGTTATACTAAACAATATTTAAAAATATCAAAATATGATCGGATGTTTTGGGCGTATAATTGTAAATTATCAAATTTATTTAGATTACGGTACATAAGTATCAATTAGACAATGTTCAAAAAAATTAAACTACACAACTGCACCAATCAATGCGCAATTATTCTGAAGAACAAAAAAATCTTGATTTATTTAATAATTAAATTATTTACAATTTACAAGTTATCTTTATGTTTAAAAATCCTGATCATGTTTTGAAAATTTTAAATATTAGCTAATAGCTAGTATATTATGTATATACACACACATCATACTAACTAATTTATAATTGAATTGGGAAGTCTATCGACTCTGTCCTGTAAATTAGTGGGTGTGTAGCGTTCTTTCACGTCACCAAAGGTAACGCGTACGTCATAAAAATAATTGCCCGTATACGCCAATAAAATGCCAATACACAATGCCGTATGGAAATTTTGCTTTTTTCCGTACACAATATTTTCCAGAACGACTAACAGACGCGATGTAATAATAACATATATCATACACATCGCAGTACCCACACGTATCATCATAATAAATTATTATGTTTACGTTTGCAGCAAGCATATTGATTTATTATATACCGACGACAGGATTTATTCTCAGCCGAGTTCTTCATCCGTCTTGTACAGCGCAAGAAATAGCAGTTTATCGTTTACGTCTACCCGCTCGTGCGGCTTGCTGACGCGTTTTTTTTTTTTTTGTAATTCGTGACAAACAGCACGTTACGCCTTGGCCCTTTATAGGTAATTGTGCGCGAACATATTGTGTCAAACGCTAGCTCGGCGATTTTCTTACAGATCCTGTACGAGTATTTATGTGGGTGCAACGAGCGTGGGATGATAATATTGCTGGAGGTGTGATGTGCGGTGATAAACTAAGGTGACAAAATGAAACGTTTTCTAAAATATGAACATCGATTTTTGTGTTAATATATATTATATATAGCCGTATAGGTAATACGAACGAAAAGATTTTTACTTCTTTCAAATCTACATAATAGTCATAATTCACTTTACATACTAGTGTGTACGAGATGACGATACAGGTAATTTGATGGGCGTGAGCGGGGAAACCGTTCAACAGTAACTCTTATATCTGTTATGTTTTTTTGATTTAATGAACGAATCCTTTGGACGACGTTAACACGTAAATTGTTTATTACTTTGTACTGATTGTTTTTTTTTCCTATAAATAAACTACACAGCATTAAAGTTTATCGTCGTAATCACGCGTGTGATTAGTGGGCTGTTAAGTTTGTGAGCCGTGTCTTTCCGGGAATCTTAATCAAATTTTTATCGTGCTTTTGATTACGGGTCATTATTATTGCAATAGCCGTAAAGGTGCGAATCGCAATGTTGAGTGAAACACGCACCAAACGCAAAACTCGCGTAGCCGTGTGCAGTAATAAAACCGATGACATGATATTATTAATAAACAATAAGTAATAAAAGCTTTTATAAAAATGTTAATTTTATATTTTAATTTAAATTTGATTTGTTTTTCATTTGTAGATTTCCAAGCGTAATTGCATTATTTGCATTTGCAAATTAATTTGTGTAAAACATGACATTTTTAGAATTGAACATTCTAGAAGAAAATTAAATTGTTTAATGACATTTCACAGGCAATACTGTGAATGTGCTTATGGCTTTAAAAGAATTAATCTGCCCTGGTCGGAAACACAATACCACTCGACAAATGAGGACGTATCCAACAATTTTCGAATCATGTAAATATGTCAGAAATCGGCTAAAACTGCTTTTTCAAAAATATGAATATAAAAAACCTATTATAATTATAGTTCATAATACACCAACTTATAAATTATCAAAAAAAAATTGTGACAGTATTTTCCATATTTTTTTTTTTAAATTAAAAATCACTTCTAGAAAACTATATTATATTAAATTTCATAGCTCTTTTATTTGGAAATAAATATTTTACTTTGTACGAGAAAAAAAAACCTAGAAAATTAAAAATATCTA